AAAACAACAAAAAAACCCAACAGAGATGGTTGTAGATTTCAAGCGAAAGGAACAAATTGAATCCTGTTAGCAACCTGGGAGAAGAAGTGGAGGTATAAGGTTATAAATACCTTGGTGTTCATACAGACAACAAACTCAGCTGAACAAGAACAACAAGAAGGGACAGAGCAGATTGTACTTTCTAAGGAAGCTTGAGTCCTTCTGCATTTGCAACAAGAAGCTACATATAGTCTATTGGTCTGTTGTGGAGATTGTGATCTTTTCTGGGGAACCAGCATCAGAGGAAAGACAAAGTACTTTGATCAGGAACTAGAGACAGGCTAATGGCTTGCGGCGCTGAACCAGTGAGAACCAGTTACAACAGGCGGGATCAAGCGTCCCCAGCAATATCAGTAGAAGCAAAGGAGAACAGAACCAGTTGGAAATTCAACACATACAAGATGCCATTACAGCCCAGAGGGACTGCTTCACAGCGGTTCAATTAGAGCAGCTAAAAGGTCAGGGATAAGGATTACCGACCGTGGGAGAATTCCTACCTCCATCTGGAAGAGACACCATCATCAGCAGCTGAACTATGCTCAGGTAAGCATGCTGTTGGTGTTTTAGCCAGAGCGGACGTACCTTCTTGGTGCCGTAGAGACTCTCCAGAAGTTTGTCCTGAGCATTCTCGAAGCGCTGATCCAGAGTGGCGACTCCCTTCTGAACCAACGTCCACATCATGTAGTTGTTCAGCAGACTGGGGGCAGAAAAAGCTGATCTCATCACCCGAGGGCCAACTAAAGCACTAAGATTAGAAAAGTAAACACCTCTCCAGACATCAACGGTGAAGATTTGTTCTGTTTGTCTTTTTGTCCAAAACACATAGGAAGGGACTAAATGTCCTGCTAACATTTTCCATCTGAAGCTGTGATATATTGTGTGATCTGATCAGACGGTTACCTGCGGTCGGTCTTGTTGATGAGCTCGGACACCTGCTGCAGGTACTCTCTGGCATACAGAACCACTGGTTCTGTGTCGTTTAGGTCCAGAGGAGCCAGAGAAAAAGTCAAGAAGTCTAGCCAGTCCACGGCTGGAGCCAGCAGCTGGAAAGGTAATCAGGAAGTTAATAAATAGTACACCTCCCAGTAGCCTTCGCTGTTTTATATATTGTAAGGATTTATTAATAATAGTTCTGCAGAATCTATTTGGTCAATCTCTAACGTTATGCCCTCTCTCCCTTTTTCTCATAGCAGCTTCGTCTCGTCTGTTCCTGTTTGGCTGTGACACCATCCTGAAAAGAAATATCAGCTGTGCTGCTGCCATCAGCACCTTTGTTTATAGATGTTGGGATGATCGGGATGTTTTTCCAGTATAGTCCTGTTTCTCTAACTGTGACTGGCTGGATGTTCTCTCTTCATCCTTTGACATGGAGCTGCCTCGGAGCTTGTCTGCCTGGCTGAGTGTTTCCTGGACGGGG